GGTGGGGAAAAAAAAACCTAAGTCACATAGGCAGATATTGACCACCACCCCTGTCCCCCAGTATGAATGAGGAACCCAGAATATTGGAAGACAGAACACACAGGGAAAGTGCAGACAATTGCCTAGAGTCAGTGCTTTGGCTCCCATCTGCTCTCTGGTGTGGCCTGGAGTGGTGGACGAGTTTGGAAGGAGAGAGTGGGAAATGCAAGTTTGGAAAGTGTGTACAATTTTGTCTTCCCCTCTTTTAAAAGTCAAAATTAAAGAATAGAGAATGAGAAGGTTCAGAACCCATGAAATTGAAGTCTCAATTTTACTCTTTTCAGTGTTAAGGTTAGGTTGCATTTTCTGTGGCAAGATAGCATTTCCAAGTAGATTTCTATTTTTCAGTAGAATTCCTAAGCTTATGAAGGAACTGAGCACATAGTCAGGCAGGCATGGTGGTACCTGCTTGAAATTCCAGTGCCCTGAAGGTTGTATCTGGTGAGTTCAAAGCCAGCCTGGGCAGCCTGAACTGCATAGTGAGACCCTATCTCAAAAAAAAAGAGAAGAAGTGACAAATAAGGTATTACAAACAATAAGGAAGAAAGGATTAGCTAATAAATGATATTTGAACTTATTTAAAAATTATCTGGATATTCAAACATTGGACCTTAAAAGAAAAACCATTGATTGCTATCTTTGTTCTTTGAAAAATTAATGCTGCTTTAGTTATAACACCTACAGTTACTAAAAGACAGGTAATTAAATTAGAATAAAATACAGGACTGGAGGGAGCGCCCTCCATTGTTAAAGAGTCTCCATAGCTATGGAAGGACCAGGAAAAGCTCACCTGCAGACATCTAGCAGAGGGAAGGTAGCCTTCAAGTCCTGCTGGTGGGGGTCCCAGAGCAGACTAGTGAGTCTGCTGTTGACAACTGATAAAGCCAAGTCAGTAAAGACAGAAAAACAAAAGTGACAAAGTAGGGCTGGGGCACAGCAAACCAAGGTGGCATGAATGCCAAGGCTATGTTAGAACTTAAGCCAGAAGAAATCAGGGTCAGGCTGACAGTAGAGAGGGGGAAATGATACTAAGGGACCCAGGGAGTGAGATCCTAGACCCATGGGAGAGAAGGGGACTGGCTCATCCTGAGAAATGCCTTGGTTTCTATTGTATGTGATGTCCCCAAACCCTCATAAGAGTATAGGCAGAATGTCTGGAAGGTGCTTGGATCAGAGAGCTTAGGGCTGGCTTGCTATTAGGAAGCAGAGTCTGGTTGGAAGAGGCAGGTCACTACGGGTGTGACCCTGAAGGCTATATCTCCCTTCCTGGCTTCTCCTTTGACACTCCATGCACCCTGTCTACCATCCTGTGAGCAGCTCACCTTTGCTGTGCCACTCAGCCATGCCACCCTGCCTTGGAGCCAGGTGACTGTGGACTGAAACCTCTACAAATGGTGAGCCAAAGTAAACCTTCCTCCTTTATTTGTGGGTGTTGGTATTGTGTCGCAGTGATAAGTCATTATAATAGCTTTGTACAGATCAGACCTAATCATTGTCTTTCTATGCAATGAATCTCATTCTCCTGAGGGATCTTTGCAACCCAAGGACATAACTAAAACAGAGCCTACAGCACTGCGTGAGACGTGATACATGGACTCAAGAGTACTTTGTTAGTATTTGCAAAGTGGCAATTCTAAAACAGAATTGTATGTTCAGTAACAGAGAGTTCCAACGCACAGAGGAAGCCAGAAGGAAAGTGCCTTAGCTTATTTGGAGAGGAAAGGGATAGTTATCACCAAGGAAAACTTTCCAGAGGAAGTCATAACTGAGTTGCATCGTAAGCTATTAGTGAGAAAGTGCGGGAAAAGGGGCCAAAGAATTCAGAATCAGCACCAAGAGAAGAAGCTGCCAGTACCAGGACCAGCCTGTGTATACAGCAGTGCAGGCCACCCTGCTGGGCGGGGAGGACAGCACACAACCACAGGAGTGTAGGGCAGGGCCTGAACTTCATCAGCCACACCTTATCTTGTGAGTCCCTCCATGAGCCAGACATCACTAAAGAAAGCACAGTGGGAGAAAGATGGCGGCGGCCGTGCTGCGAGAGCTGGGTACATTATGGATACAGAGCCTGAGAGGCCGGGGGCTGCTGGCTTCGGAGCTTCTCCCATTGCACAGCGCTTCGCCCCAGTCACACATCCACACGAGTGCTCCTCTTGACATTTCTCGCAAGTGGGAGAAAAAGAATAAAATGTTTATCCTCCACAACCGCCTGGCGAACCACGCAGACCAACAGAAATCTACCACTGTCGAAGACAAATAAAATACAGCAAAGACAAGATGTGGTATTTGGCAAAATTGATACGAGGGATGTCCACTGACCAGGCTTTGGCTCAGTTGGAGTTCAGTGATAAGAAAGGGGCACACATAATTACAGAGGTTCTCTTACAAGCTCAAGATATGGCAGTGAAAGACCACAATGTGGAATTCAGGTCCAATTTGTAGGTAGCTGAGTCCAACACAGGGCGTGGCCAGTGCCTGAAAGGCATCCGCTACCATGGCAGAGGTCGCTTTGGGATCACGGAGAAGGTTTATTGCCATTATTTTGTGAAGCTGGTGGAAGGCCCCCCGCCTGCCCCGGAGCCTCGGAAGACGGCCGTGGAGCACGCCAAGGAGTATGTGCAGCAGCTGCGCAGTCGGACCATCATCCACATTCTATGAGGGCCTCGGCCTTTCCAGAGTGTGTGCGCTGCCCTTTATTTTTAAAAATAAAAAAAGATGTAATACAAAAAAAAAAGAAAGAAAGCACAATGGCAATGTCCCTATTCTCTTGAACCTTGCATTTCATAAGGAAGCCAAGCACCCTGTAGAGAAAAGAAAAATATCTTGTTTTAAATGAAGACAAGAACCATGGAGTAAAGAAAATATGAATGAAGGAATACAAATTAATTTAGTAAAGTAGGAGGAAGATAGCTTAGATAGTTGGTCAGAAAAAGGAATGATATTTAAATAGAGACATGCACAAAACAGAGAGCATGCAGAGAGATTTTCAAAGCAGGTTTAGGTGAGAGATCATCTATGTCTCAAGCAGGGTGGAGACAGTGAAGCAGGCAAGCAAACAGAACTCTTCAATGTTTATGAGACAAACTTGTCAGACATGAGCAGTTGTTTAGATGCAGGGCAGGGAAAAACAGGAAAGATGAAAAGCATCTTGCAGATGTAGGGCATAAACAATTACAGAAAGGCTAAAAAATTCTGGGAGTTAGGTTGTAAGAAAAACAGAAGTTCAGTTGAGAGCAAAACTGGCATAAGTTGTCATTGAGGATGAGGGTGGTAGTACAGACCCTCAATTGTAATCCCCCCAGCAAGGAGAGCCTGGAGCTGGCAGCATCCTGCAATGGAAACTGGACTTGGGAGAAGCACGTGGATGGTCACAGGAGCCATGAGTGTCACCAAGATTGTCAGTGAATTGGCCACCAAGTATTTAGTGAGCATGATCAAGGCCCAGGCTGTGCAGCAAGTCCTGAAGGAGCTCTTTTTTCATAATGCTTACATGAAAAAGAGCTTCAACTCAACAAGATGATTTCAAGTGCTGATGATAGGAGGAATGAAGAAATTAAATAAGGTCATTAGAAAAGAGTAAGGAAGGGGAGGAAGTAGTGGTGGCAGATTGTTCAAGCAATGGTAGCCAAGCGAGATCCTCTATGGGGACACAAAGTTGGGGTTGAAAGCTGAATAGAAAGGACTCAGCCTTGGGGAAAATGGACAAAGAAACACTCAAGTGAAAGCAATCATAAATCTTTAGGTCATAAGATAGAAGTGGACTTGGTATGTTAGGAGGTCAGGTGAAAGGGCAAGGTGGCCAGAATGTAGCACATGAGGCAGAGTGCAGGGAAAGGGAAGAACTGAGTATGGCAAGTTAGGAGCTTGGGTTTCCTCAGCAAGGGATGTGTACAGTGAGAAGATCAAAAGGCAGAGGAAAGATTCCTGGGAAACACCAGGCTGAAGGACAAAGGGAATGGCCTCACAGAAACCACGCAAGGACAGACTTCTGAAAGGCGGTGATAAATTCTCCGACAGCAGTGATTTACTTCTGCGGTCATCAAACAGAATAGCCTCTCTTCCATGAAGAATACAATAAGTAGATTAGCTAGTAAGCATCACTCAACCCCATCAGAGTTTATTCATATGCTAAAGATCCAAGACCATTTGCCAGCTGGTTTTCTTTTTGTTTTTTGTTTTTTGTTTTTTGGGTTTTTTTTTTTTTTTTTCCAGAACCGGGGATTGAACTCAGGCCCTTGCGCTTGCCAAGGAAGCGCTTATTCCACTGAGCCATCTCCCTGGCCCCAGCCAGCTGGTTTCCTTACTCTCATCTTCCACACAATGACTTTAGTTTACATGGTAACATATATATCACACTGAATCCATGTCTACAGGACTGTTTCAAAGAAGCTGCAAGGCACATTTCCACATTATACACACTCACTGAAGAGAGGAAAACATGGACGTCACAGAAGCTAGGTGGCTGTTCTGAGCCAATAAACCCTGAAACTAAAAACAGCAGCCTCTACCTTTTTCATTGTGCATCTAGCTTAGGTTTCAGTTAGGAAAATCTTTCATTAGATGTTCTATGGACTGCAAAATCACAGTGATGAGACTAGAACTATGATCTACCTCTCTTGATCCACAGGAACAACGCTTCGTTTGGATGTCTGGGATGGATGGAAGGAATTTCTGATGGGCTGTCTCCGTGGGCAAAAACATAAAGTCCAACGATATCTATCAAAAGAAGGGCCAGTACTCAAGTATGGAAGATATAACAAATGTTGCATTGATTTAAGTAACTTCTTACTAAACTTCTATCAGACCCTGAGCCTTCCATTTGCCCTAGAGCTGGGCCACAGCTCCATGCCATGTAACTTCGCATAAACAAACACTATTGAGATAGTTGCTGAAGCAAGACACCAGGGATACCATCAGGGCCAGCAGCCATTTGCTGACTGGCTACAATATGAGTGCATTTCCCTCTGGACATAATAAAGCAGTGACTTCAGCTGGGGTGGGATAGCAGACTGTCAGCAGCACCTCTGAACCTGCCAGAATAACTGCCTTGCCACTCCACTCGGAAAACATTTGCCAATTGATTACCTGAAGACATTGGCCACCTCTTTCTAAATTCACAAGTAATTTTTTAAAACTGTACTTCATATGTGCCTTCACACTTGTGTCGTACAGGAAGTGTAACAGGAGTGGCAGTGGGAGGAGGTAGCTCAGAGAGGCAGGTGAGCATTGTAATGTACTATTTCAGCCAGCACCTTCCCAAAAGTTCTACGTTGACCTTTAGGGTTTTTACCCAACGGCAATTTCGAACAGTGCCCCCCCCCCCGGTGGATAATTCAATCACATTTTACAAAAGCCCAGTCACCACCAGGAGTTCTAAGGGCTCTCAGAAGTGACAAACTAGATGAGTGGCGTCTACACGCTTTATGAAATAATCAAAAATTTTACACCAGGGGGACTGCCTGCTCGGGGGCCCCCCTCCTGTCCCTCTCTTGGACAGGAGCTTTCTTTCCCTCAATAAATATATTCTGCTCATTAAAAAAGAATGTACACCAATCTCTCTTTGGGGAAAGTGATAATTCTCTTTTTAATATTCTGAATCTAAGAAATTGTTGTAGTGTTGCTGTCAGTAATCCTTAAGACAAATACCGTGTTACATTTACTGCCCCTTTTCATACTTACCTTGCTGTATGGATGAGAAACATATACAGATGACAATGAAGGGTAGAATAGGACCCAGACAATCTAACTCTAGTCATAAAGTTCTTAATCATCTATACTTAACGTAATCTTTCAATAACATTTAAGAGCTCAAAGAATTTACATGGTCAGACTGACAAGAATCTTCTATTCCTCTACCCAATCAAATACTTGCTGAGAACTTAATATTTAGTGCACAAAATCTTAAGAATGCAGCAATCAACAAGATGTTGTCCTTGTCCTCAGTGAGTAGGGAAAAGAAAACAAGTAGCCAATTCCTGGAGAAGCAGATATGCAAAATATTCAGGAGAATGAATTTCAGAGCCCTTCTGCACATGCTTGACTCCTGCTCCCTCCACACTTAGCTAGAGAAACTTGGGCAAGTTACACAAGCACCTAGCACTTCAGTCTCCTCTTCTATAGAATGGGGGGAGGAGGAGGAGGAGGAAGAGTATCTCTCCTATAAAATTGTTCTAGAGATTAAATAACCTAATAATCATAAGAAACATACAAGAATGTGGGGTTAGGCTTTGGTGTTGTTGCCACCAAGAAAGGCAAGTTTCAGTTTGGACCTGAAGGACTGGTATCAGGTGAGTGGTAGGAAAAAGAAAAAAATATGTTCCAGAAAAGTGTATAGAAAGGCCCACAGTTTTAAAAATGTAGCTTTGGGCTGGGGAGATAGCTCAGCAGCATAAGCACATGCCTGGCAAGAGCAAAGTCATGAGTTTGATCCCCAGGACAAAAGGAGAAGGAGAGGGAGAGGGGGAGAGAGAGAGAGAATGTAGCTTCAAGGACTGAAGGATGGTAGATGAGAGGAAGTTAGTGGTCAGATGCTGAAAAGATGACTGTAGTGACCAGTTCATGCAGGCCAATAGAGGAGCATAAAAGGATCTGGCACTTAACTTTCAAGTATTGAGGAGACACTGCAGTGGGAAAAGGATCAAGATAGGATCTGAAGGGCAAGCAAGATAGCTCAGCCAACTAAGCACCTGCTCAGGCAGGCACAAAGATTGGGGGCTGGTTTCCCATCCACGGCACCACATGCCCCACCAGCCCTGACTTCCAGGTGTGCTGAGCCTGCCACTGAGTCTGGGCATGGTGGTGCATGCCTATCATCTCAGCGCTGGGGGGGCTGAAAACAGGAGGATCACTACAAGTCTGAGCTACATAGTGAGACCCTGTGCCAACTACATTGTTTTAAAAAGGTGGGATCTTCAACAAGAACATAGCTCTGGGGGGCCTGGCCCTAGCTCAGGCCTTTAAGTGGCTGCTTCCACAAA